TCTCTCTCTCTCTCTCGCCCTCGTCCATCCCCTACAACCCTCTGCTCTTCGTCCGTCTGGCTTCCGCCACCGCGAATCTCGCCCGCCACCCAACGGTGTGCCCTCTTTTCCATTCGTTCCTTTGCGCCGCCGTTCATTTTTTTTCCTTTTTTCTTTCTTTTTTTTTTTTTTTTTTTTTTTTCTTCTTTTCCGCGAATGCACGCTTTGCAACAGTGCATCGTGCCAGATTGAGCACACTTGTGCGTGCTTTTAGAGCGGCCCGGAGACCGAAAGAAAAAGGAACGCGGATCGTTTGAAATGTTTATAGGTTTCCTTCTCTTTTTTTTCTTTCTTTCTTCTTTCTTCTTTCTCGCGCCGGCCTCCTCTCTGCCGGATCGATCGAGCACGCCCGGTTTGCAAATTAATTGACAATGGGCTCGGCACGCGCACCATCGTTTCGCGGACAGGGTCTTTCTTAGGATTACGGTGGCCACGCCGATTCGAAAGTTCCCCTGAAAACTGAAAGCGCGCGAAATTCCTCTGCTTGAAAACGGCCTTGGTCCAGATACGCCGGAGAAGTTTCACGGGTAAATATCGCCGCATCGAGCCGACCCGTCGCGTCCGTAGTAACGGTGTGTGACAGTTGCTTAACCATCGAATAATTTTACATTTTTCAAGAGAACCGTTTAATCACTCATGCCGTGAAATCTTGAAATATGCAGTTTCAAGAATTCTCGCGATATCGTCTTTCGTTATTAACTTTTTGTCCATACAAATGCGTTTGAAAGAGTAATTTGTACATCGAATCAATCGAAGTTTCAAACCGTGATATCTTACTAGTATTTATTCCTTTAATTTTCTTTAATTTTTATTAATCATTGGTTTCAATTTTGTTGTTACTGCGACTTTAACTTTCGTGTTAAAATTTATACGTAGGCTTCGCAAAATCAACGATTCTTCAGCATATAAAATTTGACGCTTTTTTTTTATTCCATTCTAGAGAACGAAGAACATTTTTCATTCTCCTGCAGAAGTACAAGTTGCATAATCTTTTTCCAGTAACGTTTGCGTAACGTGTTGTATTTACGAGTTATTTTTATCACATTGATAATTCACGTGAGTCGTTTTATCACTCGTAAATTATTTGATCAATTGCGCGTTGCGTTTATGAATTATTCCACTGCTGCAATAATTAAACGTTGTAACATCGATTTCTTGCGGCTTCGATGCGTGTAACAACGCGCGAATTATTCAACTCGATTCTGCGAACGATTTCACTAACGATCACACCGGGAAACAATTCTACAAAGTCACGCTGTTTAAAATCACCTGACATTAACAAGCAACGTTTCACACAAGCAGTTACAACATCCGCCGCCTCGAGTGTGATATCTTAATTAAATTTAACTTCAACCAAAGGTGAGCGAACTTAGTTTTTCCCGGTCATTTCAATGCATCTTGCCAGCGCTCTGACGTCGAATTTATCCCGCCGAATTTTTTCCTTCAATAGGAAACTAATTAGCAATTGGCTGAGAATGAAGAGAGAGAAACAGTCAACTTGCGAGTACATTGGTAGCTGAAAGCTGCGGAAAACATTGACCGCGTTAATCTTTCAACGCGAAAGGAAACGTCTCTGGGAAATTTCCTCCGTCTGTCGAGGTCGGAGGTATAAATGTTTTGCTTTAAGGTGTTGGTAGAACGCGGTGGAAGGAAGACGAGATCGAAAAGAATTGCGCGCGAAACGTTGCACGAATCGAGTCTTTTTAATTGCTCTATGCGCTTGGCGTAGGCCGATGTGAAAGGGCACCGAGCCACTTGAAATCTGTAAATACCCTCTCTCGCGAGCGTTTCTGCAGCGAAACTGAAAGAGCCGGAATGAGAGAGAGAGAGAGAGAAGGTAAAATATCGTTCAGAGATATTTGAACGCTTGCTTACTTTTGACGAGATCTAGTTTAAGTCTTGGACTACGGGCATGTTTGCTTGAAACAGAAATGGCTACGATAAATTTGACCATTTTCTGAACCGACGTCGAAATTGAGATTACTCCGTGATGTTGTGAAAATCAAAACATCTGTGTAACAATATAAAATAATAATTGCAAATTCAAAACAGTTCAGTAATCAAAAGTCTGAAATCATCATGGTATCTAGTGTTCGATGACATTCTTCAACGATAATTGACAGTAGAAGAAATTCTTTCCTTATCATTGTTTCTTTCACCGTAGTTTAAAATTCTAAGTTATTACGATCTTCGGTGTCCAAAAGAAAAGAAAAGAACAAGGCATCAAAATTTTCGGGATAAATCATTTGCTAGTGATGTTTTAGCAAAGTTTTCCAATTTTGAAACTTACGATGTTCCCTGTACCCTGT